TGAGGGTTGCGATCCCGTTGCCGGTCCCGGTCCGATACGGGAGCAACACTGAGGGTTGCGATCCGTTGCCGGTCATGAAAAAAAAAAAAAAATGTAGCAATTAGGTCAGTAAGAAAGAGAATGGGAAATAATTACTTGCTTCGAGCTGATTGGTTTTTTTAAAATAAGTTTTTTGCAGTTTACATCAATGGACAGAACCAAAACGGAGTGCTTAAACAACCTATACTAACCCAGGATTCTGCTTTTTTCTGCCACTACTTATGCTTCTGACTGCCTTTGGGGCTACATCTTATAGACAGCAGCCACTAGAGACGTAGTTGTTGATTTAATAACAATTGGAAAGTGACAAGTGTTAGATATACAGTAGTGGCAGATTATCCTCCTAAATTTCTCCTTCCTTGCATCCTAATGACCTGCTCCAGGCCTGAATCTCTGGCTTGGTCATCATTCTCTGTGCTTCGCCTCCGGCATTGCTGGACATGCAAACCATTGAAGGCAGACACCATCATAAGACTTGACTGTGTATTCCATATGCCACATACTTGTGTTCACCTTAATGGCATTCATAGGAATGCATATCTTCTATTCTTTCGTGTATTTAAAAATTTTTTAAAGATGTATTTTTATGTTCCAATGCTTTATTTTTTACTTCAGGAAATTCCACTTTCAGAAATTCTCCGTGTATCTTCGCCACGAGATTTCACAAACATTTCACAAGGCAGCAACCCACACTGTTTTGAAATCATTACTGATACTATGGTATACTTTGTTGGTGAGAACAATGGGGACAGCTCTCACAATCCTGTTCTTGCTGCCACTGGAGTCGGACTTGATGTAGCACAAAGCTGGGAAAAAGCAATTCGCCAGGCTCTCATGCCTGTTACCCCTCAAGCAAGCATTTGCACTTCTCCAGGGCAAGGGAAAGATCACAGTAAGCAATAAGTTTGTTGATTCCTTTTTCTCCTCTTTGGTTCTGCAGCTTTTTGGGTGTGGTTGCATTCCTTTGTCTTAGTAACCAATAGCGTTAGTTAATTCCTTTATAAAATTATTTTGGTTATAGTATATACTTAACAATGCCCAGAGCTAGGCTCCAGAGTCATTCTTGCAACATTAGGTTAGGAAACTACAAATGAGTAAAAAGTAAAGATTCTTAAGAATGAAAGCCCAGTTCTGTCACTTATTAGCTATGTGATCTTAAGACTCCACAGTTTTCTAAAGTAGGAAGAATAATAATGAATGCACATAATGCCCTTAGTGCAGTGCCTGACACATAAGTAATAGTATTATTGTGGTGGTGTTGTTGCTGTCCTTATAGCAACCTATCTGGAACAGAGTTCTGGGAAACGATGAAATTAAAACTGAATGGTGCTAGGTAGTGGAGGCCTTAGAAAGAAAATATTGACACAAACTAGGAAACTACTGAAAAGCAAAGTTTTAGACACGTTAATTTTGCTGATGCTGTACCTTCTCTTGACCTTTAATATTTAAAATTTGAATTACTATTCTAAAGTTGACTTAATATTTTAAAATGGAGTTTTTGATAGTCATGTTACTTATTTCTAATGTATAGTTTCCTTACATTTCCCTCTTAAGGAAGTTTTATATTTTTATATTTTGGATTATAAACGAAACTTCATATCTTGCTTCTTTGGGTTGTCTCTGAGATTCTAGATGTTTGACACCTAGTCTTTTGCTTACTTCCATGTTCCCTTTTTCTCTTTTCTTGCCAATTACCATGTCAATAGATAGGTTTACCTAATTTTTAATTTTTTTATGAAAGCAATGCATGCTTTTTGTGTTTTAAAAAATGCAAGCAGTATAGAAGTATATAAAAACTAAAATCCTCATTCCCCAACCTCCTCTCCCACTCACCAGAAGTAATCATATTTTATTTTCATTTTTAGTTGAGACACTGCTACCCTACATCTTCCCTTTTTAACTCAGTAATATGTCATGGCTAACTTTCTGGCTCAGTACTTATGGCACTACATCATTTAGTAAGTGTTTAGCTAGTATTCCTTTGTATGGATGTATCATATTTTATTTAACCAGTTTTCTGCTGATGGATTAGTATTGTGTGTGTAGATAAATTTTTTAAATGTACATAATGGTATTATATTGTATGTTAACCTGTTTAATTTTAGTATACCATATGCATTCATATGGCATTAATATTAAGTCATATACTAATAATTTTGTTATTTTCTCATATATCATTCTTATATTTTACAGAAGATTTGTCTACCAGTATCTCCGTATCTAATTGTCAGATCGAAGAGAATGTGGTAAGTAATAATGATAGCTAACATGTGCAAATTGGGTGATTAAAATAAGGCAAATAAAATGTGAAGATCTTATTAGAGAAATAGGCTTTTAATTTTTTATGTTAATTTACTTTTAAAGATTTTTTTTTTTTTTTTGGCAGCTGGCCAGTAAAGGGTTCAAACCTTGGTGTTTTATCAGCACCATATTCTAACCAACTGAGCTGAATAGCCAGCCCAGATTTTTTTATTCAAAGCATTTTTTTCTAACAGTCTTCTTACAGAATACATTATACTTAACCTTCTCTAGAACATAGCCTGTGTTTCATGAAATATTTTGCACTTTATGAAAATTAGTTGCCTCTAATGTGAAAACAAGAATGTATTTAAGTATTTGAAAATAGTCAGAGATATTAGCATTGTTTTATAGAGGTAGGTAGTACTTACTGTTTATTTTTTCCTGTTAGGACATCAGTACCGTTTATCAGATCTTTGCAGATGAGGTGCTTGGTTCAGGCCAGTTTGGCATTGTTTATGGAGGTAAGCAACTACAGCCTTTTGCATATTGCATATAATATAGAAAAATTGTAAAATTTAAAAACATCTGCCAGCTATCTTGTCATCTCACAATTTTGTCAAGTGGCCCTTTTATCTTTTCAGCTAAGTCCTTTTCACTGTAACTGAGTATTCATTCCTTAATGTCCACTGCAAAAACTTTAGAAAGTAACAAAAAGAACCAGAGGAGTAGTTTTACAGTAGTCTTACTTTATCTCTTCTTGTAGCTCACACATAAAGATGTCTGTGTAGGGGGAAAAATGGTTCAAAGTTTATGTTGGGTTGTATGCACTGCTTCATTGAAGTATATTCCCTAAGGGTTTTCTAACACAAATGGCATCATTTGTCTACTTTTGGCATTGAAAACCTGAAATCTTATCCAGCTCTGTGAGTTATGATTTGTCGAAGTCATTTAACCTTTCTGTAATAATTTGTTTCTTTTGCTTATAACATAAATACCTGAAACTGAGTGATTTATAAAGAAAACAAAACTTACTGCGTACAATTTCAGAAGCTGGGAAGTCCATAGTCCAGGGAACACAGCTGGTGAGAGCCTCGGTCGTGGTGACAGGGACCCAGGGGTCTCACATGGCAAAATATGGCAGAGCACAGAGAGTGATAGTTCCTTATGTAAGCCCCGAGAACCACACCCCTGACCACCATTATTAATCCTTTCATTCCGGCATGGTGTCCTACACTCTAATCACCTCTTCAAGGCTCCACCTTTCACTTACCGTAACAGCATTTCCCACCCTCTTAGTGTCACAGTGGTGGTCAAGTTTTGGGGTGCCCTCAATCTAAGGCATTTACTATCCTCAGTATGTTCGTCTATCTAATGAGCTAATAAAACCTGATCTGCATAGCACACAGGGTGGTTAATATTAATTAAAACTAAAGAGTATAAAAGTACTCTATAAGCTATAATCCAAGATGCAAAAGAAAAGTAACGTTAAACCCTTTTCATCCCTTGCCAGGACTGCTACAGTAGTCTCCTGCTTGGCCTTTGTGCCTCCAGTCTTGCCCTCTTTTCACACCATTCCTGGAATCTTTCAGAAAACTCATATCTGATCGTAGTGTTAAAGTAATCATATTTTATTTTCATTTTTAGTTGAGACACTGCTACCCTACATCTTCCCTTTTTAACTCAGTAATATGTCATGGCTAACTTTCTGGCTCAGTACTTATGGCACTACATCATTTAGTAAGTGTTTAGCTAGTATTCCTTTGTATGGATGTATCATATTTTATTTAACCAGTTTTCTGCTGATGGATTAGTATTGTGTGTGTAGATAAATTTTTTAAATGTACATAATGGTATTATATTGTATGTTAACCTGTTTAATTTTAGTATACCATATGCATTCATATGGTATTAATATTAAGCCATATACTAATAATTTTGTTATTTTCTCATATATCATTCTTATATTTTACAGAAGATTTGTCTACCAGTATCTCCGTATCTAATTGTCAGATCGAAGAGAATGTGGTAAGTAATAATGATAGCTAACATGTGCAAATTGGGTGATTAAAATAAGGCAAATAAAATGTGAAGATCTTATTAGAGAAATAGGCTTTTAATTTTTTATGTTAATTTACTTTTAAAGATTTTTTTTTTTTTTTTGGCAGCTGGCCAGTAAAGGGTTCAAACCTTGGTGTTTTATCAGCACCATATTCTAACCAACTGAGCTGAATAGCCAGCCCAGATTTTTTTATTCAAAGCATTTTTTTCTAACAGTCTTCTTACAGAATACATTATACTTAACCTTCTCTAGAACATAGCCTGTGTTTCATGAAATATTTTGCACTTTATGAAAATTAGTTGCCTCTAATGTGAAAACAAGAATGTATTTAAGTATTTGAAAATAGTCAGAGATATTAGCATTGTTTTATAGAGGTAGGTAGTACTTACTGTTTATTTTTTCCTGTTAGGACATCAGTACCGTTTATCAGATCTTTGCAGATGAGGTGCTTGGTTCAGGCCAGTTTGGCATTGTTTATGGAGGTAAGCAACTACAGCCTTTTGCATATTGCATATAATATAGAAAAATTGTAAAATTTAAAAACATCTGCCAGCTATCTTGTCATCTCACAATTTTGTCAAGTGGCCCTTTTATCTTTTCAGCTAAGTCCTTTTCACTGTAACTGAGTATTCATTCCTTAATGTCCACTGCAAAAACTTTAGAAAGTAACAAAAAGAACCAGAGGAGTAGTTTTACAGTAGTCTTACTTTATCTCTTCTTGTAGCTCACACATAAAGATGTCTGTGTAGGGGGAAAAATGGTTCAAAGTTTATGTTGGGTTGTATGCACTGCTTCATTGAAGTATATTCCCTAAGGGTTTTCTAACACAAATGGCATCATTTGTCTACTTTTGGCATTGAAAACCTGAAATCTTATCCAGCTCTGTGAGTTATGATTTGTCGAAGTCATTTAACCTTTCTGTAATAATTTGTTTCTTTTGCTTATAACATAAATACCTGAAACTGAGTGATTTATAAAGAAAACAAAACTTACTGCGTACAATTTCAGAAGCTGGGAAGTCCATAGTCCAGGGAACACAGCTGGTGAGAGCCTCGGTCGTGGTGACAGGGACCCAGGGGTCTCACATGGCAAAATATGGCAGAGCACAGAGAGTGATAGTTCCTTATGTAAGCCCCGAGAACCACACCCCTGACCACCATTATTAATCCTTTCATTCCGGCATGGTGTCCTACACTCTAATCACCTCTTCAAGGCTCCACCTTTCACTTACCGTAACAGCATTTCCCACCCTCTTAGTGTCACAGTGGTGGTCAAGTTTTGGGGTGCCCTCAATCTAAGGCATTTACTATCCTCAGTATGTTCGTCTATCTAATGAGCTAATAAAACCTGATCTGCATAGCACACAGGGTGGTTAATATTAATTAAAACTAAAGAGTATAAAAGTACTCTATAAGCTATAATCCAAGATGCAAAAGAAAAGTAACGTTAAACCCTTTTCATCCCTTGCCAGGACTGCTACAGTAGTCTCCTGCTTGGCCTTTGTGCCTCCAGTCTTGCCCTCTTTTCACACCATTCCTGGAATCTTTCAGAAAACTCATATCTGATCGTAGTGTTAAAGTAATCATATTTTATTTTCATTTTTAGTTGAGACACTGCTACCCTACATCTTCCCTTTTTAACTCAGTAATATGTCATGGCTAACTTTCTGGCTCAGTACTTATGGCACTACATCATTTAGTAAGTGTTTAGCTAGTATTCCTTTGTATGGATGTATCATATTTTATTTAACCAGTTTTCTGCTGATGGATTAGTATTGTGTGTGTAGATAAATTTTTGACAGATACCATTTTTGGATGCCTGTGGTTACACTTTATTAAACTGAACCAAAATTTCTTGAAAAAGGATATACTGCAGACACCACACTCAACAAATTGAATCTCTTTTCCAAATGATGGCCACCCTGACTTTCTTGATGTTTCTCAGATATGCCAGACATGCTCCTGTCTCAAGAGCTTTGCATTCACTGTTCTCTCTGCTTGGAATGCTTTTCTCCTCAAATATCAGCATGACATATTCGCTTGTCTTTTTCAAGATTTTGCCTATGTATCATTTTCTCAGTGAGGGCTTCACATTCTATTCAGCATTAAACCCACCCTCTCACCCATCTGCTCCGTTACCCTCTTTTCTTTTGTCCATGGCACTTACTACCTCCATAATAGGTAATTTATTAGTTTATCTCCTATTATCTATTTCACCTTGCTAGAATAAGCTCCATGAGACAAGGGATGTTTGTCAGTTTCATTTATTAATAAATCCAGACTACCTACATAGTGGTAGACACATGAAAAATACTCATTTAATATTTATTGAATAAATGTATTTATGTGGGAAATTATCTACAACATATTGTTAAATGAAAAAATGGAAGTGTGGAATGATCCTATTTGTGTAACTTTTTAAAGTAATGTGTTTGGATCCCTGTACCAGCCAGCCAACAAAAATATAAAAATAAAAAAGTAATGTGTATATTATGTATGTCTGCATATGGTTATGTATAGAAAAGGATTCATACCTACATAAACTGTCAACATGGCCATAACTGGGAAGCACATTGTGGAGTAGAAACGGGGGTGGGGACACTTTTGTTTCCTAGATACATAGCAATGTAGAATGATGATTTTGCTATTGCCTGAAGAAGGTAAGAGTAGTGGGAAACAAGTTGTAGCATTCTCATGGCTACCTGTGTAAATGGGAAAACACTATCAGAAACTTAGATGGAAATTTCTGGTTTGAAAACTGGTATAAATTCAGCATTTTCCCCTTCTCTTCTTGGAAATCACCCAAAACCTACAAGGAAAATGATGAACAGAAGAGCATACTCTATCTTTAATAAAAATAGAAAAAGTTTATACCTACAAAATAGGGAGAAGATTTTCTAAAAAACAGTGAAAGTGAAGCAGGGGTACATGTAGGAAGAAGCATCACAATAAAAACTGTTTTTGCTGGTTCTTTCTGACATCTACAGCTGTGATATCCTCCCTAGGTCCCTTCCCCAAACAAACGAAAGCCAAGGGGTCATACCTGACAAGATACAGTTCAAAGGAAAACACATTAAATGAAATGAAGAAGGACAATTTAACAATGGAAGAGTGTAAATCACACTACACCAAATAATAGCATCAACTTCTAAAGGAAACAAACAAACGAAAGCCAAGGGGTCATACCTGACAAGATACAGTTCAAAGGAAAACACATTAAATGAAATGAAGAAGGACACTTTAACAATGGAAGAGTGTAAATCACACTACACCAAATAATAGCATCAACTTCTAAAGGAAAACTAGAGAAGAAATAAGAGAAACAGACAAGCATATTAATAGCCCGTGATAGATGGAGTAGACAAAAATAATTAAGAACATACAAGACCTAAATAGAATAAGGTAGATCTAACCACTTTACAGTGAACTCTGTACCCTAAAAACAAAGAACAAAGAATACCTCATTAATTCAAAAAGTAGTAGTACAGACAGTATTCTCTGATCTTAATGCAATAAAAGTAGAAATAACTTACAAAATCAGAAAACAAAAAGCTTCCACTACCTGAAAACTTTAAAAGTTATCTTAATTCTTGAATGAAAGAGCAAAACCAAAATTTCAGAATGTTTAGAAAATAATCAAGAAAATACTGTATATATCAGAGCCTTTGGGCTGTCATTCAAAGAAAGCTTTATAATCTCAAATATTAAGCAAGGAAGAATGAAAATAAATGAGATAAAAATCCAACTCAAAGAATGAACAATAAAATAAAATTAAGGAAAGCAGGAAGGATTAACAAAAGATAAAAATGGAAATTAATAAACACAGAAAAGAATACAATACATCCAAAAGCTCGTTCTCTGGGTGAGGGGTGGTGAGGAGGTACGTAAAAATAAAATAAGTAGCCAACCTAAGCAAAAAAATAAAGAAGAAAATATAAAAACAGCTTAGGGAGATGACCAGAGATACAGAAAAAATGAAAGGAATTATAAGATACTACTTTGTTCAACTCTATCAGGTAAGTTTGAAAACTTGGAGGAAATGGGCAATTCTCTATGAAAGTATAACTTGCTAAAACAGACTCCAGAGGAAATAAAAAGTTAAGCAAACAGGAAGTTCTTAAGTGAGAAGAATAATGTTATAGCATACTTCTATTTTTAAAAGCGGGCAGGGAAAAAAACTTAAGAGCTAGACAACTGTGGCATAGGAAACAGTCACACCTCTAACTCTAAGTTGATAAAAGTTATGATATTCTGAATCCCCCCTGCTTACTGCTATTGTCACACCCCTCCACTGAGGTATTTCACTTTCACTTCTCTGCTATAAAATTTTGTCACTTTTTTTCTACGTGGAACATCATGTCATTAAATTGTTTAAAATTGATTAGTAAACAAGTTTATTTTGCATTTGATATTCTTTCATTTTTCTAAACATTTTTGAAAACACCTACCATGAGTCAGACATTGAGCTAAAATAAGACACAGTCTGTGCCCTCAGGGAACTTATTAGAGAGGGAGTAAGACACATACACACATAATTACAGTACAATGGGATAAGTATTGCTGCATATATACAGTGTAGAAACTATTGTAGGAGTCCTAAAGAGAGATAATGTGGGCTCAAGTGAAGGCAGTTGCAGTAGGAATTGAGAGATGAAGGTGGATTCAAAAACCATTTTAGATGGAACTCAACTTTGCATGGCCAAAAAAATAAAGCTAGCTCCCTTAGCATAATCAGATACCTATATTAAGGGGAAAAGCATAAGAAAAGAGAATAAAAATAGATTGAACATTTAGGTCAATGGAGCAGCATATTTAAGATTGGGGAGAATGAAGCCAGATTATTGAAGATCTTAAAATCTAGGCAAAGGAATTTAGATTTATATCCAGAAATAAAGAGCCATTGAAGTTTTTTGAGCAAGGCTGACTTGACGTATTTGTTTTTGAGGAAGGTTTTTTCACCAGTAGAAAATAAGATAGATTGCTTTTTTATAAGCAGAAATAGTATCACATTAATCTTTATGTATCTCCAGCCCTTGTAACCTAGTAGTGCTCAAGAAACATGGGATGATGGAGGTAGAGAGATGCTGAACCTAAAAGAGGGAAGAGGTATAATACAGTAGTCCCCCCCTTAACCACAGGGGATACGTTCTAACAACCCCAATGGATATCTGAAACCATGGATAGTATCAAGTCCTATATACTTTGTTTTTTCCTATACATTTATTGATAAAGTTTCAATAAATAAATTAGGCACAGTAAGAGATTAACAAAAATAACTAAAAATAGAACAATTATCACAATATACTGTAATAAAAATTATGTGAATGTGGTCTCTCAAAATATCCTATTGTACTGTACTTTGGGGTAACTGAAACTGCAGAAAACGAGACAGCAGTTTGGGGGGAACTACTGTATAAGGAGAATCAAGACTTAGATAAACAACTACTTTGGAAACAAAACTATCTCTTGTGCAAAGATCTTCACAAATGCATCCCCCAAAGAGCCAAATCCATGTGTAATTGGCTAAAAATTGACAACTGGTGCCTATTCAAGGACAGCATAAAATTAGAGCAGTGTCAGAAGATTAAAAAGAGAAGGAAGGAAGGAAAAGAAGCAGTAACAGACAAGGGCCATTATGTAATCAAATCAGGAAAACATTTTCTCCCCTCAGTGCGTCCACTCTCCAGTACACAACTTGGAATATAAGAATCTATGATCCTTTTTATTGGTTGTTTTTGTTTTTGTTTTTGCTTTATTTTTTCTAAGCTGTTTTTCTTTCTATGCCAGGTATTTCATACAATTAAACTGTAACACATTGTTAGATATTTGCATAGTAAAACTGTTTCTCTACTTAAGTTGGTCATATAAATATCCCATAACTGTTTTCAGAATTTGCACCACCCTGGGATTGTAAACCTGGAATGTATGTTTGAAACCCCAGAACGAGTTTTTGTAGTAATGGAAAAGCTACATGGAGATATGTTGGAAATGATTTTATCCAGTGAGAAGGGTCGGCTCCCAGAACGAATTACTAAGTTCATGGTGACACAGGTATTTTGCCTTTTTTAAACTAGAAAATAATTAAAAACTAATAATTAAATAGCATTGCTTTTACATATTGGGAGATTGAAGGAATCGTTAGGCTTGAAGAACAAAGTTACACTTTGAGCTAAATCTTGATGAACTGTGTGTTTTCAAACTTACACCATTCAGGGAGTCACATTGGAGTGTAACTATGATTTTCGAGACGTTGAAAGAAAATCATTTTTCTTTAATAACAGATACTTGTTGCTTTGAGGAATCTACATTTTAAGAATATTGTACACTGTGATTTAAAGCCAGAAAATGTGCTGCTCGCATCAGCAGAGCCATTTCCTCAGGTAAGATATTCTCCAGAACCTTTTGAAGAATTATTTTAAGTATCTGACAATATTTAGGAAATACCTACATAATAAAAGGCAGTGTACTAAATGCTGTAGGTTCAAAATGCATACCATTTTACAGATATAAAATTTTTAGCCTATAACTGCCAGTGAGGGTTAATAACTAATTAAATTCAGATTTTTGAAATTATATTGTTTATGTTCATTAAGACTTTTTTAGACTCTTTGCAATTCACCTCTCCCCATGGGCTGGGAATGAAGTGGGGAGAACCAACCTTGGTTGGTGCTTGGTGCCCAGGATGAATTCCCCATAAGTTAAACTGAGGGGTGTTACCTCAAATGGAAGAAGATTTTGGGCCGGCCCCGTGGCTCACTCAGGAGAGTGTGGCACTGGTAGCGCCGAGGCCGCGTGTTCGGATCCTATGTTGGGATGGCTGGTCTGCTCACTGGCTGAGTGTGGCGCAGACAGCACCGTGCCGAGGGTTGTGATCCCCTTACCAATCAGGAAAAAAAAAATGGAAGAAGATTTTGGTTGAGTCAGGCAACCAACTCCATTTCCTCTTTAGAGCACTATATTTCAACCATTTTCACCAAACCGTATGTAAGAATTATATTTCCCATTACCACCAGTGCTCACATACATACGAACAATATCATATGCCTGTGCATCCTGGCTATGTGTGGGTGCTCTGATTTTTTTTTATTCAATTGAATTTCATTTTTTTAAAAATGTTGATCTTGAACCACTAAATTTGTTTCATAACCTACTAAGTCCAAATTTTGAAACAACTGTCCTGAGAAATGTATGTTGGTGATGGTACCTGCAACTGTTTTTCATGATTGTCACTGATTATTCCTCCAATCAGCTAGAATATCTGTTGCCAGACTATTATTTATGTACATTTGAAACATGTACAATTAGACAAATGGCTAGAATAAGGATAACAGCTGTTTCACTGGTAAATACAACTGAAATAGTCTTTCAAAGAAAAATGTACTTTTAAGTCATTCAGCACTTTTAAAGTAGTAATCATGTTCTTCCTTTTATAATGCCCATGTGGTTAAAAGTGATTCCTTATCACTGTGAGGTCAAAAATTTCCTCAAATAGTGGGTACAGTGTTCAAAATAAACTGCTTCCATATATAAGGCTAAAGCTCCAACTTTCTGACCTCTGCTTTCTATATCGTTCCCATTAGGAACAAAGGGAAAATGTTATTTGCTTGATATGCCTTTTTTTTTTTTTTTTTTTTTTTTTTAGTGTTCAAAATAAACTGCTTCCATATATAAGGCTAAAGCTCCAACTTTCTGACCTCTGCTTTCTATATCGTTCCCATTAGGAACAAAGGGAAAATGTTATTTGCTTGATATGCCTTTTTTTTTTTTTTTTTTGCTCAAGTGCTAGCCATGGTCACACTTCTTTATTCAGTTGCCAAACTGCCAAGTCATCTTTACTTTATCAAGGTGTTAGCTGAAATCTGACATTTAACTCAAAAAAAGGAGAGTTCACATTTCAAGGTCAGTACTCCTATTCTTCAAAGACTCAAATAGAGAAGCAGCCAAATTCAATAATAGAGCAGATATCATTCATAAAAACGTCAGGATCCATAACCTAGAAGTAGCAAGCAGCATTTGAAAACACCTTCACCTCTTTGATCTCCAGTCATTGGGCCACTGTTTTCTAGAGGCCATACCCCTTCTCTCTCAATTTATCTTAATGCTTTTTCTGAACACATTTTGTGTGTCAGAGCATTTCCTCTGGAAAAGTACATGGCATTTGCTTATTCAGCACGGATGCAGCCATTAATCACCAGAATCTGAACCTCTACAAAAAGATGGGCAGCAAAATAAGTGCCAAGATCATCACACTTCGGAACTCTCTTTCCATAGGACGTGGTAGTGACTGTGACTACCTTCAGATACAACTTTTTCAAATCTAAACATACAACTAGCAATAATTTGTTCCACAGTCATAGAAAATACTGTTGCTCTTCTTATTCCTTGGAACAGTCTATAGCATTACTCTTCTATTATCCACATTAATAGTTTAATACACTTCAGTTTCATTTACTTGCCACTTAATAGTGTCCTCGGGAAGACAGATTCTAGGATTAAACAAAGGATGTTTTTAAAAATTATAGCTTATTTTTATTCAGTAAACATGCATTGAGTACCTTTATGTGGTTAGGTATAGTGAGGTCACTGAGGATTCAGAAATGAAACACAATTCTTGCTCATAGATGATAGAAAAGTGATCCCTGTACAAGAAAAATGATAAAAGAGCATACCCCATTTCATCAAAAAACTGAACACTTGTAACACCAGTGTATTATTTGGCATTCTGGAAGCTGGAATTCAAGTTTTTTGAAATAAGCACTAGGAAAGCTTTTCATATGTTAGTCAGGATCACAGGATAAATGTATTTGCCTTCTGGGAAAGGGACATTTTACAATTTCCCTATGTATAGTTGTTTGATATTAAAAATACAGTTGGCAAGTATGTTGAAGTGATACAGGATCATATTTAGGAACATTAAGTATGTACATATAAATTGATATATAGTTATATATAAAATTAACGTTTATTTTTCTTTTTAATTTCCAGGTGAAGCTGTGTGATTTTGGATTTGCACGCATCATTGGTGAAAAATCATTCAGGAGGTCTGTGGTTGGAACTCCAGCATACTTAGCTCCTGAGGTTCTCAGGAGCAAAGGTTACAACCGTTCTCTAGATATGTGGTCAGTGGGAGTTATCGTCTATGTGAGCCTCAGTGGTACATTCCCTTTTAATGAGGATGAAGATATAAATGACCAAATCCAAAATGCGGCATTTATGTACCCACCAAATCCGTGGAGAGAAATTTCTGGTGAAGGTAAAAAAAAAAATAATAATAATTAACTTTGGCTCTATCCCCTTTAGTCTAAAAATCTTTGTGATCCCAAATCAGTCTGTCTCTTCTGATCTCTTTTTTTATTATCTCCCATTCATCATCCACATTCAACTAGTTACCCATTTTGGGGTACTCTTCCTCTTACACTGTCTTTTCTATCTCTGTCTTCCTAACAGTTCCCAGGCATAGCACTAATCCAGACCCCAGTTACCTCATTCTGAAACCACTACTCCCCTACACAAACCTAGTTGTGTACTCTCTTATGAACTGTTTTCTGCACGTTGCTTAGGCCTTTCTTCACCTGCCTACAATCCCTCCTCTTCACTATTGAAATCCTTCTAATTCTTCAAGGACCCCTTAACCTGTGGCTCACTTATGAAGCTTTTCCTGACTATGCTTCCTCTAAACTGTATAAGATCTACTTAGGTTAATAGTTGGGTGTTTTATTTTAAGTATTCTATCTTTTCATGGATTAACTTCTCTAGTCTTCAGAACAAGACTGTTAACTCCTTGAATGGAGACCTGTAGATCAGGTTCTTTATACCTACCTGGAATGGGCTTTATATTCAACACACATTCTCCACTTTGTTTTCATCTCCCCCGTGGACCTCTACTGGGCACCTTCATACATTTGTTTTTCCTGCCTGATGAAGGCTTTTGAGCTTGTAACCCTTGGTTCTGTACCCATCAAAAATGACTTGCTTGGTCGTGTTCAGTTTACTGATAGTAACAGGAAAGAAGAGTACACCACTTAAAATTTAGTAGTCCCATAGAATTTAGTAGAACCAATGCTGGGAAATACCCCCACCTGGATTTAGCCAACCCTTGGAACAGGTAGTTCTTGTTTTTCCAAAAATACTAGGCCTAAGAGTAGAAACTAATATTCCATTGAACTGACAAAAGTTTGAGGAACAACAAGTAAAGACAGTTGGTAATGAAGAAAGCTGATTAACGTCCATGTAAGCGTTTTTTTGATGCTACCAAAGAACTTCTGGGTCTGTAGATGTCTTGTATCAGAATCACTTGATGAGTTTATTACAAGAAAAAACCCTGGTCATGTACCAGAGATTCAGATTTATCAGTTGGAATTCTGGGTCTGTAGATGTCTTGTATCAGAATCACTTGAGTTTATTACAAGAAAAAACCCTGGTCATGTACCAGAGATTCAGATTTATCAGTTGGAATGATAACCAGGAATGTGCATTTCAAATAAACACCCCAAATGATTCTGATACACATGGTGGACCACAGTTAAAGAACAGTGAACAAAGGTTTGAAGTATTTGAAACACAGAGAAGTTCATAATTAATGTACTTACAGAAAATCTAGAAGAGAAATAGAGCTACCGTGGTATAAAAGTCTTTCATTTGGCTCATGCGTGGGTCAAGGCTTTATTTCATATCAGTATTTCAGATGTATCACTGTACAAGGGATCTTCAAACAGTTCATGGAAAGATTTGTATTATCTTTTAATCATATTTTTCCATAAATTTTTTAAAGTATAGGGCTATAGTATGTAGGTGTATGGTTCCCTTGGTTTCGCAGTTGATCCATTTCTCCAAATTATTGAATGTGTATGCCAGGATCTCACCATATACACCAAAACACCCTGAACCTATTTAAAACCTTTTGAATGTGAACTTTTGGTAATATGTTATCACCTCAATCTAACCATGTCTGCAGAGGCAAGGCAATGGAATGGCTCTGGCTACTTTTCCAGACCAAGCAAGGGACTAGAGAGCAACATGGTATCATTGGAGGGATCAGCTTATAATCAGGAAGTCTGCTTTATTCATCTTAAAATAATAATAGTTAATCCTTATCACCTTTGTGCTAAGTGCTGTTCTAAGCCCTTTATATATTAAACTGATTTCATCTTCTCAACAACTTCATTTTACAGATGAGGAAACTGAGGCACAGCATAGTTTAGTAACTGATCTGATATCACACAGCTAGTAAGTGGCAAAAGCAGACAGTGTATACTTTTAACCTGTATTGTATACTGCCTTCTTCATAAAATAAAAATTTGATAGGTACACTTAATTCAGTAAATATCTATGGATCACTTAACGTCCACGTCCTTGAGAAGCAAAAATTCCTCAACCCTGTACTTCTATGGATTTAACTACTTTCCGGGCAGAGTGACTGGTGTGTGGTGTTCTATACACCCAAATTCATGTACCTAATTTTGTTTCTTCCCTTAGCAATTGATCTGATAAACAACCTGCTTCAAGTGAAGATGAGAAAACGTTACAGTGTTGACAAATCACTTAGTCATCCCTGGCTACAGGTAAAAAAAATATGCATCTCTTTGGCAATCCTTATTTGAGCAGTTCACTATAATTTGTCTTCCCTCATGAAACCACTCCAAGATCAACAGATTCTGCACATTGCTTAGAATAATGTAAATGCTCTTCAATGATTAATCTGTACTATGGCTGAATCTCTAATGCATCTCTTTGGCAATCCTTATTTGAGCAGTTCACTATAATTTGTCTTCCCTCATGAAACCACTCCAAGATCAACAGATTCTACACATTGCTTAGAATAATGTAAATGCTCTTCAATGATTAATCTGTACTATGGCTGAATCTCTGGAAGTGATGCATACAACATTCAAATCAGTACTGATAGGCAATTAAACTCCCATAAGCTGAAAGCTATAACTTAGCCTTTTATAGGGCCTTGTGTGTTCATTTCACCTTTTTGTATGATCAGCATGATATAGTTTGTCAAGTATATTTTATTTTAAATGTCCACCAAAAGGTTTATTTTTGCACTGAAGAGATCAAAAAACCGCCATTTAAAATATGTTTGGCTTAATTCTCCCAAAAGTTACTGCATGGATTTCTCAAAAGATAACTTCCGGGGCCGGCCCGGTGGCGCACTGCTACAGTGCGCTGCTTGGGAGCGCGGCGGTGCTCCCGCCAAGGGTTCGGATCCCACATNCAGACCGGCCGCTCACTGGCTGAGCGAGGTGTGGGAGCAACACCGAGGGTTGCGATCCCGTTGCCGGTCCCGGTCCGGTACGGGCGCGACACTGAGGGTTTCAAGCCGTTGCCGGTCACGAGAAAAGACAAAATGGGAAAAAAAAAAAAAGATAACTTCCAAACCTCAGAGTAGGGAAAGAAGCTTTAGAGCTGTTTTAAAGGGAGTGTGTAGAATTAAACACAATCGTAGTTAATCTCACCAATTATTAAATTATCCTGATAATAGATTCCAAGCACTTTCCTCTATTTTAGGCTCCTCACAGTAGAGAATAAAATGTTGTAGTGATTATTGCCACCTCAGAAGCCCAAGGGAAATTTTTTTTCCCCAGAAACTAATTTCCTTCATTAAGAGACTCTGAATTTCAAAAAGTATTTATCTTTAACATTGCAAATCTAAAATATTACAAATAGAACTTACTGTATAACAAGTACTCATGAATAAGGATCGTTAGTTATTTGACTCAGGTGCTATACCCCCCTCCCCCCAAAAAAGGTTGATAGTATTTTGTTTCTTTTATGGTTCATAATTACATTTTTTTCTAGGACTATCAAACTTGGCTTGACCTTAGAGAATTTGAAACTCGCATTGGAGAACGTTACATTACACATGAAAGTGATGATGCTCGCTGGGAAATACATGCATACACACACAACCTTGTATACCCAAAGCACTTCATTATGGCTCCCAACCCAGATGATATGGAAGAAGATCCTTAATTATCCATGAGCTAACTAACTTCAATAGGAAGGATTTCATTTTATGGACTGATATTTTGCTGCATAACTGTTCTTTTAGGTTATCATCTGCAAGAATGCAAAGACATGAGGAAGTATGATAAGGAATCGGTGACACCAATACTGTAGTTCATAATGAGGTACAGGAGGGGAAACAATAAAAGCAGATAATGGAATCAAGTGAAATTTTCTATATTTTTTTTTAGTATAAGCAATAACTGGTTTTGTATTTTTTCCTAATCTTTCATTTTAGTACAATAGTGCCACTTAATTTATCTAACCTTTCCTGTTCTTCCATTACTTTTTTTAAAGGGGGGAAAAAGGCAAGAAGTAGGAACTTCTGGTCTGAGTGTGGTGAGTGTGTGGTGTCTTCTCATAGCTCAACTCTGCTGCTAACTATTCATGTTCCCACTGACATCACTGTGATGGCACAACTGGATTCCAGCATTGAGTGAGTGCAGATCTGAACTTTAAATGATTTATCTTTATCCAGGGTTGAGTAATTTGAGGGAGAAAATTAAATATATGCTAAAAGGAAGGCCAGTGCAGGTCAGTTAATGCTAGTTACTGTGCAGCAAATAGTATCCTTTTTTTTCTTCCCTTAGCTATTGGACAGCTTTGCAGATAAATGTTTTTAATCAATTATAAGCAGTTTGAAGGAATGGGCAGGAATAGAGCATGAAATGCTTTGTTTGTAAGGGTGGGGCTATATTATCAACACCACAAATAAAAGAATGAAGTATTTCTTTTTACATTTCAGCCCCAGGAGCCAGCTATTCTAAAAATAGTTACTAATATTTTCCCCAAAGAAAGTTTAAGATCTGGGACTATACAATCATAACAAACTAGTGGCTTTTTCTTGCTTTATTCCTCAGTAATCATTGTAGGCCTTTTTTTTTT